CCTCTCTGCCCTGCCCCGCCCGCCTCTCAGCACCGGGGGCTGTCGGCGAGGGCAGAGGGCGGCTCGGTCGTGGGGCTGCGTTTGCTGCCCTGCGAGTACTGAGCTGAGCGATTGCTCCACGCGCTGTTTTATTACGACATCGCTGTTCCGGGCTGCTGCGTGCTCGGCTGGGGCTTTTAATAAGGGTGAAAGTCCGTTTTTCCTGGTGTTGGCTTTGCTGTGGGCAATTTACCCATCTGTTTTCTCCTCTTGAGCCTGGGGGGCGGGACCTGTCTTTGGAGGAGGATGAAATCAGTCGGAGCGAGCTACAAAATGTGTCTCAATATTTCTCTTTGTTTATGTGCCTTTAAAAGGAAAGCTTCTCGTGTGTTTACCAAAAATCCAGTTGTCAGAGGTTGGTCTAGGTACTGTACGTTCCCTTAAGCCCTCTTGTTAATTTTGTGGGTTGGGAATGACATGTTTCCTTTTTTAATTTAATTGGAAGTCAACACTAAACACAAGATTTGAGCAACTGAGCTGGGAAAGTAATGTGTTGAGAACTGCTAGTAACTGGACAAAGTTAAACATGAAGGGAAAACTTTTATTTTCCTCCTTAGGCTTCCTCTTTTCTTCTTGGCAGTAAAGAGCAGTAACAGTACAGTAAGGTAAAGCTTGGAAGCTACAGCCTGGGCAGAACCAGCAGTTGTGTCTGAGGCTGCCTGGAAATTCCATGTGCATGAAGCACAAAACAGGAATAAACCAAATGTAACACATAAGATTGAATGAGTTGAAAGACTTTGAGTGACCTCAACTTCACCGGGGAGGAAAGGAGGAGAAAATTACAGGTCGGATGTTACGGTGCGAGTTAAAAAGTGACAAGTGTAATTTAGAGTCCTTGATGTAAAATACTGTAAACACCCAAAGACCCTTTGTGCACAGAGCAGCTTGGCCAAGAGATGAGTGAAGAGGAGCAAGACTGTTAAAGTAATCGAACCTCACTGTTTGGAGAAACTTTATCTGGCCTTGCCACGCAGAACAATTATTGGAATAGTTGTGCCTGATGCACGGGGAGGAGGCTTTCCTCTAACAGGAGCCTTGCTTAGGCAGGATTCGACCTGGAAGGCTGCAGCTGCACATTTTCCTTCCAAGAGCTTTGTCCACTAGGTGGGGCCGGGCCACTGCTTATTCAACCCGTTTTAGCAGAGTAACAGTTGTCCTTTCTCGCATGCAGATGTGTCCCTGACAGAGGGGGCTCAGATTGACAACTTTCTGAGCTAAGTCACTTTTAACAATCTTTATTTGAAGTGTAGAAGAGATTAAACAGTCTTTGGTCAAAAATTCTTGCCAAACTCGACTGTAGCACAGTAAATGGTATTTCTCTGTCCCAAAGTTACAGCTGCAAAGAACACAGTACCCCTCTGCGTACAAAAATGTCTCGGTGAACCAGACTTGGCTTGGGATGATTGTGAGCTTTGACTGCTGTGTTACGATGCACCTAGAAGTAAAATTTCTGGCTTTGAAAAGCTTAGCCTCGTTCAAAACACTAAGTGTTCTGGGCTCAAACACGTATCTTGCAGTACAGTGTGATTAAAAAGGACAGGTCACTGAGCTAAGGTTGGAAACAGCTTTTCAGAGGCCTCTTGCTATTAAACTAGTCTGCTTTAGCTTTCAGTTTGAGGGATAGTGGAGCTATCGCACACCAAAATGGTCTTTATTTTCTGTCAGGCCTGGGGGACATCTAGTCATGCAAATGAATGCTGGTTCAGCCACAGCCTTCTACTTATGCTGTATGTTAAGCAACACCACCAACAAAAACAACCAAATAAACCCTCTGAATAGTAATTATTTGTTTCTGCAGTGGTTTGTTTTTTTCCAAGTTGCTTTTCTCAACACAGACGAAACAGCACCAACCAGTAAATCTCAATTCTGGCTCTTGCAGGTTAAGAAAGCGTACCGGCAGAAGGCCCTGACTTGTCACCCAGATAAGAACCCGGACAATCCCAGAGCAGGTAGGATGGGACTGCGCAGACACAAGCAGCTCTTTGTCTTTGTTTTGACGTGCACGGGCTCCTGGAAGTGGCTCTGCTTAACTTCAGGTCTGTCTTTGCATGTAATTAAGGGAATGCCTGGGCAGATGTCACAGGAAGTATACATATGCAGGACTAAGAGTTATTTTTATCGCTGTTAGAGAGGTCTGGTTTTTAAGGTTGAATGCTGGTTTAGAAACCTCATTGCTGAAATTATATTTGTACCTCTCAAAATATTCCCCCATGGTACTTGAATCCCAGAGCTTTGGCTAGTCTGTCCCCTGTGTTTACTGGCTGGTCGCTATTTTAATTCATACCTCTCACAGTTGAAACATCAGTAGCCAGCTTATAAATCATACCAGCTATGGGCAGTGCCCATTTTTGTCTGTTAGACAAGGCCCTGACTCTGTGGAGCTGAGTATACCTGAACTGCTTGCAAGGTCTGGCTTCTGCAGCTACTCTGGTTTTAAGTTTTGCAGCTATGGGTAGCAGTGACCAGCGATGGTAACCGAGATGCTGTTGATCAGGACACCTCAAGATAAATACAGTTCTGTATCTTTTCCAATCTGATGGGCTATAGTCTTATAGACTAAAAATTTATAACTATTACAGAGAAAATTTTTTCACCAGAAAAGATTTAGCAGCAATGAGAGGAAAGCCTGAGAGCTCTGATATCTGCAGAAGGCTGAGAAGTGATTTGAAGTGTGTGGGGAGGCCTCCAGCTTATATGTGTAACCTTCCAGCAAGAGCGTCAGCAATATTGATGTCAAATGCAAACTTTGAACCTCAGGTTGAAATACTATTGGGATGAAAGGGAGCATTTGTTTGTAACAGTGTATTTCAGTCTGACTAATAAACTTCTGTAGGTGGGTTCTGCTGAATTCATGTTTTCCAAGACTTCTTTTAAAATGAACTGGTCCCAGTTTTTGTTTCTTAATTTACACTGAAGTTTATGTAACAAATGTTGTCCTTGGTGTTGAAGTGATCTTGGCTATAGGTTGGCTTACAAATGCTTTGGAAAGATGATTCTTCTTTCTGATGTTCTGCAGGTCTCTTCCCTAAGGAATTGTCTTTCCTGGTTCATCTCCAGGCTGCTAGCATGGTTTTCTGCATCTTACCCTTTTTTCTTCTAATTCCCAGCGGAAGTCTTCCACCAACTGTCTCAGGCCTTAGCCGTGCTAACAGATGCAGCAGCGAGGGTAAGGATGCCTGTCCCCTGGTGCTGTTGGGGTTGTGTGGTGTTACTCTCTGCCAACGTGCTGGAGAAGTACTGGAAACTCTTCTGCCCGGCCTGCTCTCTTCTCTGACTAGGACTTCATGAGTGCGAGTCTCATCTGTTATTCCCTGTAGTTCTCCGTGAGATCACATAGTAGGTGCCAGATAAGAACTCGGACAAATGTGCTTTTTCTGATTTGATGTGGTGGGAGTAGCTCTGTCCGTTTGCTACAAGGGTGAGATACTGTCTTTAATAACGTGTTAAACTGGGGCATATCCCATTTAAAAAACCAAATGATAACCACCACTGATTCAGGGACGCGTTAAATTCCCATGACAACAGTGCATTTGCAGTTCCCTTGAAGTCAAGTTCTGAGAAATAAATAAGATCTAGATGTGATTGCTGAGGCTCAGAGCCTTTCTTTCCATGGGGCACAAGAGGCTTGTAAACAGAAAAGCTGAATCATAGTCATGATCTCTGTCCTTTTGCTGCAAGGGCTTTGCAGGCTGCCAGATGCAGCTTGGACTCTTGCTGTGAGGAAGTTGTTGGTGCCTACTGCTAAGGGCCTGAAAGTAATCTGGACATGTGAAGGGCAAGAATAAAAACAAACTAAAAATGAGCAAGTAACTCTGTCCAGATAAACTCAGGAGAGGAGGCTTATTAAAATTTCAGATTATAAGATTTAAAAACATGAAATAACTCTACTCTTTTCAAACATTGGCAAAGCTTGTAATCTCCTCTCCAAGGGGCAATTAAGCTTTTGGTGTCCAAGAACTTTTTGGCTTCTGTATTTTAAAAAGGAAAAAGTGTTTAGCAAACCCTTCCCACGCAGGAAGAAAAATACCAGCTTTTCTAGTTTATAAAACAAGAGCAGTACTGGACTGTAGGAGTGTTCTGCAAGTAATAGTTGGGCATTCGTGCCTGTCTGTGCTTTACCTGCTACAGAAAGGTTCTGTGTAGGTTGATGAACAGATTATCAACTGGTTTAAACAGATGCCAGTGAAATTGCCAATTTACGCCTGTTCTTAAGTCTCTGTAGTGCTAAATGAATGTTGTTGTGTTATTGCTGCTGAGGAGTTCTGATGCTCTTCGATCTTGTACGTTCATGTGAGTCAAACATCTGTCTTGTGAATAAATCTTTCATATTAAATAGACATTTTAATTGGTAAACTTTGCTCTAAACTAAGCCTGATCTGTTACCACTGTCCCTAAAGCTACTTTGGGCATGTACAGGAAGCCAGAATATTCTTGCCATCTCTGAAGGTGGGTCACACTTTCTCTCCAGTACACTCTGCGGTTATTCCTGGACTTTGTCACCCTTTCAGGCTCCATCTGGAGATCCTTGGGCCTCTCCTCATATTTTCAGGATATTTGTGTTAACTTTCAACACTTTTAGGAGGAATACTAGCAAGAAACAGAAAATGCTTCACCTCTTCTTAGAGTGTTTCATAATCTGATCTCACCTTTATTCACTGCTTTCCATTTTATCTTTTCTGCTTTATACAGTTTCACACTATTGTGTTGGTTCTTTGGCAGGCGGCGTATGACAGAGTGAGAAAGGCAAAGAAGCAGGCTGCAGAAAGGACACAAAAACTTGATGAGAAGCGAAAGAAAGTAAAGCTTGGTAATAAAATCAAAACTTCATTTTCTCTTGGCTTGAAGTCTTCCTTAGCTGGGTGTCAGCATTTCTTCCACCATTGGAATGCACTGTTGGTGAATCTGTTGTCTATTTGATGGCTCTGGTCTTTATGCCCAATACAGTGTAGCAGCCATCTGAGATCTCCTCCCGCAGTCAGAGCTGGGGGTGGTGGTCCTGCTCCAGGCAGGAGTTAGGGGGTTTGATGACTTAAGGCTGCTGATACATGGATGTGCCTGGGTAGAGGAGAGGTAGCAGAGCTGTCAGGACTCAACTTTGAACTTGGTGTAGGTGTAGCCAAGTTTGTAATCTTTCCATCCACCTCTGGTCAGCAGCATCAGCAGTGGAAATTCTCTTTGGATTGTTTTAATTTTGTTTGTTTCTCTGCAGATCTTGAAGCCAGAGAGCGAGAAGCCCAGACCCGTGAGAGTGAAGAGGAGGAGATCAGGATAACAAGAACATTAGAACAAGAAGTAATGATAAATTCTCTGCTGCTTTTGAGAATAATTTCTGAGTCTTGACAGCCATAAAGAAAACCATGTCACGAGATGCATCAAATCTGGATATAGCAGTCCTTCAGCCTTTTGGATTAATGGGTTCTTGTAGCAGTCTGGCAGATATGTCAGCCTTGAGATTTTATTTTTTGTCTGCCCCTTTCCTTTTGCAAAGCAGCCAACAACAGCAGCTACTTATTGTATGCTGGCTGGTAGGGACTGTTGCTGGAAATGTGAGGGGTCTGGTTTTGTGGGTGCTGGAGCTGTCACCGATAGATAGATAGATAGATAGATAGATAGATAGATAGATAGATAGATAGATAGATAGAAAGAATATGTAAGATGGGTATAAGACAAAAGCTCTCCTTGGCAGTCTTTAGCTGGCATGACCCCACCATGGAACTGTGCCCTCAGATATCTGTGCTGTCTTACCTCTGCTGTAGATAATACGCCTGCGTGAAGAAGGTTCCCGTCAGCTTGAGGAGCAGCAGAGACTCATTCAGGAACAGATCCGGCTGGAAAGGGAGCAGCATGTCCAAGGTAAGAACAGAGGAGATTTGAACCCTCAGCAAAGCACGTGTATATGGGACTCTGGCTCTTGTGTAGCCAGAGCTCACACCCAGCTGCAGCCTCCTGTCTCGGTCATGTTGCCATACAGAGCATCCTACTCGGTACCTTTTTCAGGGATAAGAGATTATATTTCTGTGGGGTTGCTTTCTTATATGCGGCGTGTTGCTCTTTACAGCATTGTTACTGCTCTTTTTCAGTAAATACTCTAAAACACTGAATCTGATGTGGAGCCCCACAGTTATACTGGAGGGAGCCTCATGTCCTGCTCGTCTGTCACAATTAAAGCAGTCAGTGTTGCAGACTCAAAATAGGGAATGATTCGAGTTTGCAAAAGTGATAGTTGTTGTTGGGTTACTACTTCTGTATCCCCTTGAAATTCCCAGTCTCTTCACCCAAAAGAGACAGTGTGAAGAATAAAGTTTTATTTAGTTTGCAACTGCTGAGACTTTGCTTTCTGGAACCCGATTCTCTGTTCATTGGGCATACACAGCCTTCATCCCGGGTGTGTACAAAGACCAGCCACAAATGTGTCAGGAAAGGAGCAACACACTGAACAGGAAAACATCTCCATGTGGCACTGCCGTGTGAGCGGGTAGTTGCTGCATTTGAAGTTGTCTCCCTGTTCAGTAGCTGTATTTAGTCTCCTTCATACAGGAGGGGATGAGATTTTTCCAGAGTCCCAGAACCTCATCCTGTAGTGTTCCTGAATCTCACTCCCATCCACACATTTCTATAGTGAATTGCCTTTTTAAATATTCTGTGTCTGTGTGGGCTTAAAATACAGTTTTATGTTTCAGAAAGTTCTGATCTTCTTTTCAAAACTAAGGATTCAGTTTTCAGTTCAGTGGGAAGATTTATTGTTTCTTGCTTCCTTCATTCTGACAGAAGGTATAGTATAATATCTCCCGTTTTCCTCACAGGAAAAATACTGATATAATGAGCTAAAAAAACCAGAACACCGGAGGTCCAGGTGTAGAAACTCTTTTTGGGGTCACCAGGCTTTTCCTGTGTGACTGTATGTAAGTCATTCAGCCCACCTTAGCCTTTCTTAACTTAATTTCACATATCAGGAATTGGGGAGGATGTTGAGCATTTGTTTAGTGTAAAACACTTTGAGATCCTTGCAATGAGAACATTATGAAGTACTTATTTGCAGGGCCAGGTTAAACTTCTTCAGCTATGCTATCCTTTTTTGTGAACTCAATTTTTCCATGCTTGTCCCTACCAGCACAACCTTCTTGCAGGGAAAAATGATGTAGAATCTAACAGGTCTCCTGCTTGTATTTTCCCTTGGCTGTTTCCAGCCTTGCTCATGGCAAGCCTGGGTACCACAGAAGGGAGAAATGCTGACGTCCAATATTCAGTCTGTGCTGCAGTTCCTGATGATAGCATTGCACGTGACTTTTGGAGCTGAAGTGGTCCAGTGGAAATCCAGAAGTGTTTGCTACTGCCATACGTACATTCTCAGGGTGAATTTTGTACGAAATGCTCTTTAGCTGAGTTTTCAGCTGCATCCCTTGCATTTTTTTTTTTATTTTTTTTTTTCCTCTCTCCTCTCCAGGCAGGCAAGAAAGCAATGGAGCAGAAGGCAAAATAACTCCTAAACTCAAAGTAAGAAATCCTTATAAAGCTGGGGTTTGGTGAAAACTGGTAGAACATTATGCAGCTTTGGAAAACAGAAGGGACACTTCAACTCTGCTGAACTGGCACGTCCCTCGTACAGTGGAGGTGAAGTGCCTCTGTCTAATGTGCATTGTGCATCTGAACAGCTTCTGTCATTGCCCTGGAAATACCCCTCCTCCCTCACACTTTACTTTCTCGCCCAGGTTTTTGAGCCTGAAATGGAGTTGTCTCTGCTTTAAGCACAGAGAAACATCCGATTACCCTGATATAGCCATTAATATGCTTTCAAGAATGATCTCTTTTATTCCAGTGAGCAATGTTTCTCCCTGTTCCCCAAATAATTTGTTCCCTTTGCACATTCTGATGTTGAAATCACTGTCTTGGCAATTCTGGGAGTGTAACTGTAAATAGCAAACTTGATTAGTGTGCAGGTGGCAGGAGCTGCATTGAGCAAGGCAACATGTGTTCACATGGGCAAAATTAACTTGTCATGTTTATTTTCCAGCTCAAATGGAAATGCGGGAAAGAAGATGAGACAAGAGGGGGATACTCAAAAGACGTTCTGTTGCAGATCCTGCAAAAGGTCCTGTCTGACACTCTTCACTACTACTTGATCTTCCCCTACTTTCAACAGTGTGAGATAGGAGAGTAAATTCTGGGCAGCTGCACACAAATGGGAGCGGGAGCGGCTCATTTTCTCCTCTGTTGCCCAGCTTTCTCATGTAGTTTTCAGTGACCATCAGCATGGTCCGTTAGCTGTGAACTGTTCCCTGTCTCTCTCCCAGCAGGGGCTCCTGCTGAAAGGAGCAACTGTGCAAACTCTGAGTGGTTTGGGGCGTGTATCAGAGTTGGTCTGACTCTGTGCTGGGGTGCACTTTTGCCTTCATGTTAACTGTGGGAAGTTCAGAGACAGGAGTAGACAAGCCTTTGATCTGATTAATCCCAGCATGCAATCTTTATTTTCCCTTGGTGCAAGTATCTCCTGTAGCTCTGACTTGGAGCTAAGCAGCCTCTTGCACTGGGGCTTGCTGGAAGCAATGTGCGTAGCTCCATGCATCCCCAGAATTGTTTCCTGGAGGGACAGAAATTCTGACAGGTTGGGATCAGTGGGAGCATCGTGCAAGACAGAAAGGGTGACGGCTCAAGCCTCACGTCTGTGAAAACACGTTTTCTCTTTGCATTCATTCCATAAATGAACTTGATGTCTCTTCCAGGTCTGTAATTAACTTTCTTTTCTTTCTTTGTCTTAACAGTATGGCGATGTGCTCAATTTGTTGATCTCCAGCAGGAAGACAGGGAGTGCAGTTGTGGAATTTGCTACGGTTAAGGCTGCTGTAAGTCTGGCGGGGACCCCAGATGTGTGTAGAGCAGAGGGGGCAAGAAGGGTGTTGCAGGGGAAAGGGTTGGCAAACTGACGGCCTGGAGACGCTGCCTTGTCATTAAGGCAGTGGAGAAGGGTAATGAGAGTCTGAAGGTACAGATGCGTGAAGGGAGTGGCAGAGCTGGAGGCATAAACCCAGAGCACATAAACAAGGAGGCTGTGCATGTAAAAGAGACACTGCTTTAAAAAGCAGGCGCTGAGCTGTTTAATCAGCTCTCACTGAAGGTGAATTACCCATTGTGGAGATGGCCTTAATGAGTTTTTGAGGTTATATAAGGCATTTGCAGTTTAAAAGAAATCAAAATGTTCTGACTCACTGAGTTATAATAATTCATGTGGCTGTGGAAACAGAAATCATCAGTTACCCTTAATTTTAGTAGTTCCATCAATTTACACTGTATGAGAGTATCTATTCCTTGTCATTGTTCTTTCCCTCATGTATCCAAATAATCAAAAAAAACAGAACTGTCCGTGACCTGTTTGTCAGAAGTACTGGCAGTGATACGTTCTGTCTGCTTGATGCAGATAGTGACCTCAGAGTGTGCGTCTCCTGTAGGACAGCTGTGAAATCTTCACTGTTTGTGCCCAGCTTGGCCTTGAGGCGAGGCTGAGATGGAAAAGCTCGTCAGATTGTTAGTGACCTGTGAGGAAATGGGGTCTGAAATTCAGATGGTGATGAAAGAATATTTTCATTGCTAGGAGATGGCTGTGAAGAATGAAGTTGGCCTGATAAATAATCCTCTGAAGATTTCCTGGTTGGAGGGCCAGCCCCGGAACAATCCCAGTTCTGTCCTTTCTGACAGCACTAGTCAGCCTAGGACTTCACAGGTAAGGAGACAGACTGCTGTTATTTGAATCTGTTTCTATAGCAACCTCAATTTAACAGTGTGCTTTGCATTTATGGTAAGATATGTTGATTCCCAGCAGATCTGAGAAGTAGCTCTTAATGAAAGGCCTGCCTTTCTGATGAGCCTTTTTGTGCTGAAGTGGTGGCTGTTTTAAAGGACCGCTTTTGCCCGAGTAGCAGCATGCTGAGAACACAAGCTGTCTGGGTGACTGGATCTTCCCACAGTCTGTCTCTTCCCAGTGAAAAACAAGGATGTTCCTTGCTCAGCCCAAAGCCTCTAGTGCCATTCTCCTGGATTTTTTCTAATATACTTTGACTGTGGGAGTTCTCTGGCTCATAACTGGTTGAAATGAGCCGCCTAGAAGGTTTCTTTAGAGAGGCTTTGTTACTTACTGCATTCACAAGAGGGTAACACTTCAGTGATGAAAGGAAACGTATTTTCTTAGGGTCTGCAGGAGGGAAGAGAAAGCAGTATCAAATTAAATATCCTTGTGGGGACCTTGCTGTCTGGTTTGCATTCTGCTTAGCGGTGTGGTTACTTGGAGTGCAGGGTGTTTGTTAACTCTTAGCTGCTCCCTGTTTATTCCCCCAGACAGTCACCCTGATGCCGTCGCTCTTGACTAGCAGCTGTATTCCAGTTGCAAAGCACATGGAAGGCAATAACGTTAAAGCACAGAAACCAGTCCAAGGACATGCTGCAGCATGCTGTCGGCTCTCTGTCCTCCCTGCTCCTGTTGGCCCTCTGGAGTGGGAGATGTGGCCATGGCTTTTGAAGCATGTACACAACACTTTGCTGTGTAGCACCATGTTTATCTTGTGCTCTGCATGTCATCTGACCTAGTTAATGTGAAGTTGTGAAGGGACTGAGATCCTTTGTTGGTTATTTGAGTTCCAGTTCAAATTTCACGTGACATTTGCTCCCCTTCTCCTTCCCTGGGGCATAAAGATCAAAAAGATCTAATTGCTGAGAGGACTTCTGCCTCATGCTGGGCACCTGGGCAGGTGCCCTTTGTCTGTGTGTCTGTTTCCATCAGCCTTGTGTGTGTTTCTTACTGCAGTACTTAAGCAGTTTTGGAGATTGTTCAGTACATTCACTCTCCTGACTTTTTGTTAAGTACTTTATTTATAGTAGATGCATTTATACATCAGAGTGCCTTGGTGTTGGCCTAGTTCTGTTGAGGGCTGTGTGTTTTCACTTGGGAGGCTTGTTCTTGTCTGGACATCCTAGCCTGAGCAGCAGTTTTCCAGAAACTAGAGGCAAAGGCAGTTGGAGCCTCATAGCCCAGGAGCCAGGCACATCTCCCCGCACACCCCGAAGAGTCCTGCAGACACTGCAGCTTCACGGAGGTGGCCAGAGTGTTGTAAGGTAAATTGGGGGGAAAAAAACAGAATCCCATCCAGTTTATCTGAGTCTCTCTCGCTAGTGGAGAATGAGAACTGGCTCATTCACACCTATGGGGGTTGCTGGTGCAGTTGGAGCTTGGTAGTGGATTCTTGCCTCTGTGGGTTCACAAGCTTGGCCAGGCTTCTGACAGAATTTATCTTGGCTTGTTTCCATGACCAGAGCTTGTTAGTGTGGAACAGCAGCGTCTGCCTTCTGTGAAGGATTAGCCTGGTGGAGCAGTGAGGAAGAGCAGGCTCAAGCAGCACATGGTGTTCGTGCTGCGTGGAGGTGGTGACTCACTGCTGTCCACCCCAGCCTCGTCAGCCCCGCGTTAGCTCTCCAAATGGTGACAAGCTTGGCCAGCGACTTGTGTGCTTTCCCAAGGACTGTGCTGCTGATCCTTGTCTGTCCTTTTTACTGCTTTTCTCTGTAAGCAGCTGCAGTTTCTTTGATTACATTGCACTCTTGATGTCCAGGCTAAGATCTCAAGCTGCTCTGGTTCCTGCTTTTCCTACTTCCCGCTCCAGACCCTTCCCAAATCCTGTTGCTACTTCTGCTAGGTTGCTTCCAAAATCTGTAATTTGGTAACAGCTTCTCTTAGCTGTACTGCTTCTAGTTGACTTATCCTCTTTGTCCTCAGCCGTTCAGATCTAGACTACACAAAATGAGGTCTTTCAGATATCTCTTGCCCCTGCCTCATCCTTCCATACCCAGTCTGGCTTCCCAGCCATACGGGGCCACATTCTTGCTTTCAAGCTGCACCAATCTCATCCTGGTTTAAGCTGCCCTCACTTCCTATTTGCTGCTCCCTCCAAGTTGCTTCTGGTTTTGCCTGAATCCACCCTCCTGTTTGCTCCCACCCTGCAAACGCAGCTCCTTCCCTGCTCTGCCTCAGAAAACAGCCAGAGACCTGCAGCATTCTCATGGCAATGCCCTTGGTACCTTCAGAGGGAGGGCAGCCCCATGCTGACCGGACAGAGCCGGGGTTTCGGAAGCACTTCCCAGGTGAAAACAGGGCTGAGTGCTGAAAAGTCCTGCTGTGAGGAGGCAGCAGTTTGCAAACTGCTTGGCTCCACAGTCTCAGTTGGCTCATTTTCTTCTCCAGCAATGGGTGCACATTGTCCAGCAGTTCCTGGAGAGCTGCTGGAGCCAAGCAGGCAAGTTATGCTTGACTTACAAAAGCTGTGGGTTGGCCAGTGTTACTCTAGGCTATCTGAGAGCAATGACTGTTTGATTGCTGTGGTTCTGCATGGTTCAAAGCACACAGCAGCCCTGAAGTGCTGTGAACAGCGTATTTTGCCACGACAACAGCATGAAGCGCTTGCTTCTGGGAAGGTTTTCCTGGCATCTTTAGTGGTGGGATCTCCCTGCCAGTTGCTTCTTCATTTTGGGCCATTAATTCAGCCATATTAAAGTCCTGAGACAAGCCTCCTGTCTGGCACTCTTGCCTCTTTTCTAAGCTCCTTTGAGGTTTCACAGAGTTTGTTTTGTATTACCTGACTTCACAGCCTGATGTGAATCTAGCAGGGTAGGAGCTGCCTGTGCCTTTCTGAAATGTCTCTGTGCACTTCACTGTAGCTGGCTTCCAAAGCTTACGGTTATCTGGGGGCATGGAGGTTTTATTTTTTAATTTTTAAAAAGAGCCCTAGTATCTAGTCTAGCCATGAAGAAGGTAAGAATTGGTGACTCAGTAGCTTCTGCAGTGTCCTTTTAATAGTTTGCCCCAGTGCTGCCTAAAGTGTCCTCAGCCTGGCCGAGCCTTCCCCATGGTCCAGCTCACGGGGTGAACAACTGCTCGTTTCCATGCTGGCTCTCGACCAGAGCTGCATGCACTCTCGTCAGGGGAAGATAAAGTACCAGCAGCTCCAGCCTTCTCCCAGCCCAGAAGAGCAGAGCCACGCTGCTTCCCCCCTCAAAAAACCTGAAGCGCCAGAGGATACAGAGAAGGGACCTGTGCTCCTGGTGCCTGAGCTCGCTCTGGCTTGTTACCAATGAAATGAGGAAACAAGACGCTTCCAGTCACAGATACATTTATTCTTCCATATCTGTACAGCTGATAGATCAGTGCATGCTTCAAGCAGCAGTATCTAGAGAAATTTCTTCTCCTGCTAGTGGGATAAATAAACTGCTGTTGCTGTGTCACAAGCCTACATGGATGCTTACCTGTTTCCAGGCTTGGAGTGCCAACTGCACTTGAGTTAGGGGAAAAGAAACCCACAAGGAAAAAAAAAAAGGAGCAGCTTTGATTTGTCATATCCAGACATGGTGGGAGAAGAAACACCAGTTTGTGACTTCTGACCCTTGCCACAGCTATGGCTTTAAGATGAAGTGCTGCTGTCTCCTTGGAAGCTGCCTCTGATCCACAGATGATGTGTGCCATACCCCTTCCTGTCCGTGTTCCGCAGTGTCACAGCCACATCCCCAAAATAACAAGTCTTTTGCCAAACATATGCCATTCCTCCCCGAGGAGGAGGTGCACAGTCAAGAGTGGGAAATTCCCGGCGTGGAGAATGGGAACTTGCCCAGGAGGCTCCAGCAGATTGTGCTTTTGTCCGAGCATGAAGCCTGGGAGCTCTGCTCCGAAGGGCTTCTGGGCAGGGATGGGGACAGTCTGGGGGGTAAGGTGGGAGCAGCGAAACGGGCTACACGCAATGGGAATGCTGCAGCGTCCATGCTCCAGCTGGGGCTAGAGAAACTGGTAGCAGCAGTCAGTAAATGGGACACGTTAAATGAGAAATACCTTCAGATGGCATAATCTCTTGGGTTCTGTTTCCTGAGGGTCTGCAGAACATCCTCGAGAAGCGATAGGCCCAAATCCACTTTGAAGGACAGGAAGGGGTCAGACAGGTCAGGAAGAGCAGTGCCATTCTGGGAAGCTGCCTCTGAGTTCCCGCAGTCTGTAGCCTGGTCCTTGTGGAACTGAGTTTGAGTGGCTTTGTGGTATTGGTGAGCAGCACCAGAAAAGGAGATGTCAGAATGAGAATCTGTGTGATCGATGATGTTAGGGCAGCTAGAACTGTCCAGGTACAGCCGGGGGGGCTTGGGAGGTGCTTGTGCCTTGGCCAGATTTTGCTCACTCTGACACGACAGGTAATCAGACTTGTCCTTCAGATCCCTCAAGCATTCCCTCTTCTGGCACTGTCCATCACTGTCCAGAGTGTGGCTGTTCTGGTTGAGGATGATGACTTGGTTGCCCAGCTTTTTGTGTCTCCGGAGTGAGAAACGTCTGAAGAACGTTGTGGACTTAATGGACCCTCTCCGCCAAGTATCCATGCTGCTGGGAGCAATGAGGAGGAAGCAACTGCAAACTCCTCACGGTCAGGCGTTGGACTTAAGGCAGAGGATCAGCAGCAAGCCACACCACAGGAACAACCTCTTCCTTCCCTGTTCCCGTAGCTGGAAGGAGAACAGAGAGGCTGGTATTGCAGGAAATGCAAACCACGCTACGTCCCAGTGTTAAAGAGCAATTGGCCTGTCTTAGATGTTAAGGAGCCTCCTCCTTCAGTGGAGAGGAACAGCGATGTCTGAGCTTGATAAATCAGTGCTGCAGAAGCAAGCTGGTGAAGAATAGCAAAGGCACACAGTCACCATGAGAACAGATTTAATCCAGCATCTAGAACAGAAGGGCACTTTGGTACCATGGTAACCAGCCACCTTCGTGGGGAAGGGCACGGTATAAAAATCTCAGTGGGTGGTTGGGAAGGGAGACGGTGACTCAGTCGCACCGAAGAAAACCAAAGAAATAGTCAAATGGAAGTGTAAAAAGCAAAAAACCGCATATGTAAAAGACAAGCATTAGGAAAATTGAGTGCAAAATAGACTTACGCTGTGTTGGAGCAGCACCTGAGTCCAACAGGCGGAGAGGAGAAGCTGCTGAAGCACTGGGAGAACTGCCACCGCCACCTTCACCAGCTCGCTGGGACGCTGGTAGGAGCAGGTCTGAGGACGGTCCAGCCAGGTTGGACCCGGAATGCTGAAAACCCACAACAGCTCCTTCTCTTCATGTGCCTCCTGTCACTGCTTCCAGGCTGCACTTGTGCGTATGTATTTGTTTTGAGCCAAGCCCTTGCTGAGTCAGCCACGTCAGAAACTAGGTTTTACACTATTGGTAATTGCCAGGATTGCAGGAAGTAGGTGTGTGGAGTGGCAGGCGCCAGCCCCCGCTCTGCCCCGGAGGAAGCAGCTCCCTTAGCGGCTCCGGGTTGCTTGAGACCTGGCAGCAGGAGCGTGGCCGTGGAGCCCACCGTGACTCGGGCCCTTCCGCTCTGGGTGCGTTGCCGCCCGCCGCTTCTGCCGCCTCCTTGTGCCACGCGGCTCCCAGAAGGGGCTGGGAATCATCTCCTGCCTGTTTTAAATTCCAATCCAGAGCGTGAGGTAGCGATTCAGGTTTGTGTGGGTGATTCATCTGCATGAGCCTCATGCAGGCTGTTTCATTCAGTATCTGTGGTGAGTGGACAGGAACTTTGAAGAAGCCTCGTTCTACCGCTCAAGGCTGATACAATCTGGTGCTTTCTCAGACATGGGGGAAATCTGGGCCGTGCAGTGCTGAGAGGTTACTTCATTCATGCAGGTCCTAAGATACCAATTATGGCACATTAGTCCCTTAATTTCCCAGTCTGGGTTTCCCATCTGTTGTGGGTTTCTATCTTGTCCTCGCAGCTGGATGCTCTGCAGCTGGAGGAACCACTTTGCTGGCACGTGGAAACAAATTTGCACTTGCCCCGTTTTCATGCAGAATCTTATTCAGCTGTTCTATTGCCTCTTCATCCCTTCTACTTTCTATTTAAGTTGCCCTTAAATCACAACTAAATCTAGTTCCTAGAAAAATGAATGTGAGATTTTTTTTTTCCATTCCCTTCTGTCAAGATGCTTTTATTTCTACCTGAACTGTCAAACAAACGGGAGGGATGTTTCCAAGCACGGCGGTGCTTTGAACACATCCGAAATAGTAAGGACACCTACTAATGTTCAGTGGCTTTGAAAGCAGTGTGCCAACAGCACTGTTCCGCTCTGCGCTGGCAGCTCTCAGCTGCTGCCTACGTTTATTAGGTGGAGTCTGCAATCGGCTTCGTTGATGTGACAGTTGCTGCCACACGCAGCAGAATGACTCCAAGAGCTTTTCAGAACCGCAACACACTCATGTCAGGTTTGGGAATGTACCTGGTGGTTTTCTTTCTGCAGCCACTTCATGACTTAACCATGGAAAGGTTCAGTTTAGGTGTTTTTATGGCATTTGGCCTTTTGAAGGGGTAAAGTGGTTGCTGCGCCAGCCTTGTGCTCACCGAGCAAGCTCATCACCCGCCATACCCCAGCGAGGGGAGTGTGCTGCCCCACAGAGCCTGGCTGCGGGCAGGAGGGTCACTCCGGCAGTGTGGGGGTCCTTAGGGCTCTGTGCCAGCCCCCTTGCCGCCTCCTCCCATCAGTTGTGATGAAGTGGTGGGCCAGCTTCTGCAGGCCAGGCACGTTTCTCACCTCACCTTGGTTCTGCAGGGTCATGTGGCCACCAGCCACCATCCCTGCTCCCCGTGTGTGCTGGGAGCGTGCGTTTGGGGCGGGGGTTGAGGCCTGCACTGTTCCTGATGTGCTGTGTCTGTTCTCTGCTCCCAGGCCTCAGTGGTGTCGGAGCGGGATTACGAGAGCCTGGTGATGATGCGGCTGCGCCAGGCAGCAGAGAGGCAGCAGCTGATCGAGCAGCTCAAGCAGGAGGATGAGGAGGGGTCTCACACCTAGCCTGAGAGAGGATGGATTCTCCCCACCCCATCATTCTTCGTTTCCAACGCTCACTCTTAATTTAAGTCAATAAACCTCCTTTTTTTAAAAACTGTTGTAGGAATACAAACTCCTAGTGACTTTTCCAGAGTGGCGGGAAAAAAACGGCTGCGCAAGCTTCAGAGTAAGTGTATTAATGTGTTGGCGTGTGTCCTCAGAGGGCAGGGAGGGTGTGAGAGGAGCTGTTGGAACACCAAGCCCCAGAGCTGCTTTCAGCTCCTGAAAGCTGGTGCAGGAACAGCAGCTCCACAAGGTTTTTAAAACAAGGCACAGCAGGACGGTGGTGTTTTGAGAGAAGTGTTTTATTGGTGTTACCCCTACAGCGGCTCCCAAACACTCCAGCATTGTGACTGCTGCCATTAACAGAGCCCCTACCCCAAATGTTTCTGAGACCTTTCTGTGCTGCTCTTGGGCTGTTTCAGGAGCGTGAGGGGCACTTGGGGCCAGGAGGCTGATGGTGCTGCCAGCCCCCCTCCCCTGGGGGAGAGGAGTGGGCCTTGCTGCTGGGCAAGGGGCCCCTCAGCAGGCAGGGGGTAGGTTGGGCAGTTCCTGCTGGTGTTTCGGGGCTGAGGCAGCACTGGCCATGCCCCACTGTGGGAAGGAGGCTGCCTTGTGCTCCCTGGGCCTCTCTGGGACAGCCTAGAGGAGCAGCCACAGTGGGTATTTGAGTTTCCTCCAGTGTGTGCTAAATAGGGTATGATTAAAATGTTAAAAGCTGGGATTTGCCAGGCTGCCCCTCAGCTGGGCGCAGGGGAGAGCCGCCCACTCCCTGGGCACACCTTCCTCCCCCAGCTCCTGGGAAAGGGCAGGACAGAAGCTTGCCCTGGCTCCCCCTGAGCCCGAGCACCTGGAGTTGGACAGAAAAAGGGGGAAAAAGCTGCTGACGGTCCCATGCCAGATGATCTCCGGGAGGAAGGCAGAAGTCTTCCTTGCTATTCCTTGTGGAGGCACCACACCAGTGTCTGGCCCACGCCTGTCATGCTCACCACCCGGTAGCCGCAGCTCTCCAGCTTGTTCAAGACAACCCGCGGCGCGTCGTTCACGTAGTACTCCCAGCTGCAAGCAGGAGAGAGGAGGAGAAGGAACATCAGGTGGAGGACGAGACAAGAATTTCCTTGTGGAAGTGACTGCTTCACCACTAAACCGCTGCGACACGCTGCACCGACTGCATCGGTGAGCTCCCTGTGGTGCAAGGTCTTGGTTAACCAGATGGGGAAGGCCAAAGACCACAGCTACCAAACCATGGAGAAAACCTGTCTGCAACGGAAGGGTCGGGTTAAATTGAAACATGGGTTGGGTTAAATTAAAATGTGGGTCAAGGACTGGTTGTCCAAAGCCATGTGCTGCTCAGCTACCAGGGCTGAAACTGCGGCAGGGAGGGTCACAAGCACTGGCTGCGAGTCTGGGGAAGAGGAGGATCATCTCTGCGAAGCAGGGAAGAACGACTCAGGTCTTTCTAAGGGATGAAAAGCCAGTGTTGGGCTTATGTCAGAGCCTGTCTGTAAACTGGGTGGTTTTGAGAGCCTGTGCTTGAAATTTGGGGATTGGAAAAAACTGCTGCCTTCAGCCAGGTATTAAGCCTTTGAAAAACCAGAAGCTGTCAGCCCTCAGCAGAGCTGCCAGGTGAGGCGGAGCCCCGGCTCCTCGCTGCCCGTGTCTAGAACTGACACTCAGGATCTCCGTCTGCCTTTGACTCCTCTGAGGCTTCTGTCGGCTCCACAGCCGGAGAGACACCGACCTCCCCTCTGCCCCAGCCCCGGGGCTGCTCCTCCACAGAGGATCCGAGGGCTGGAGGCTGCTCTGCCTGCCACAGAGACAGAGCAGCTGGCGGCTGCGGAGCGAGAGTGGCACAACACAGACCCAAGGCGGGCCGAAGGAGGTGGGGAAGCAGCAGAACGGAGATGGCGCGTGTAACCTTCAGTGCTGATTTGGCAGCCTTTCAGTTCCTTTCACAGAGCCTTTGGAGGCAGAATGCAAGCAGATGGGATGAGCTTCATAATAGTTTAGCTCTTAGATGACTCACTGGGCCAGATAAGCTGATAATGATGGGCTACAGGAGCATTGGTGATCTTGTTTGGGCACCTTAACAAAGACTGTTCTGATTTTCATACTAATAACAATAAAAGACAACCCAAAAGCAGTTCTAAAGTTGCTCTTGCTAAGATTGCAAAACATTAATGGAGTGGTGAGTGCTTTTAAAGCATGAAATAACATCAGGATGTGAGAGCTTTTTTTCAGTTTCTCAAGACAGACTATACTTTCCTGTAATTATAGATGTGGTGTAAAGATGATATGTATTATTATAAGTGTCTTTGAACTTCTCTAAGAGGCTTGCCCCATACCCTTCAGATTCACATGTCGGAGTCGGTAAATATTATTCCCATTATGCAGAGGCAGGAGATGAGGCAGGGATTGTTTGTTATTTCCAAGAACCTAAAAAACCGAGGGGCTGAGCAAACAGCAGAAGGAAAGCTGAGCTGCCCAGGGCTTTGAACACAACCGTGTCTAGAGTGGAACCAAAGCTCACGTGCTGCATATTGACTGTGCCGCTGCCTCTGCGTGTGGCGCACATGGAGCAGCTGGGAACACCGGCAGAGCCTTTCCCCCCAGCTGGCTGCCAGCAGGGAGCAGGGAGCTCCCCGGGAGCACGGAGCTGGCACAGGAGCCTCCTCCTCCCGCAGCTGTTTTTGGGGAGGGAGCAGGCAGCCTCCTGGTGACATCTGCCCAGCTGTCCTTTCGGCTGCTTTAGGGATGGGGTTTGGCCGTGCCCTGGGGAACAGCTAAATTAAAGTATTAGCAGGTGCCTCAGACCACAACTCCCCAAATTGGACAGAGGCATGTCCACCCATGGGGACCCAGAACCCCCTTTTCTGCAGCAGCCAAGGGTCAGGCCCTGTGCTGGCTTCCAAGAACACGCAGGCTGGGGCAGAGCCCAGCTCCCCCTTCCTTAAAGCCCAGATGCCCCCTGGGTTCTGCTGCCACGCATCCGAGCGGGGAGCGACAGCACGCGCCTGTGATGTGCCATTGGCAGGAACTACTGCAGAGCTGCACAACTGGATCAGTGCTTGCTCTTATTAGAGGCAATTAAATACTTTAGCTGTAGATTATAGTGCCCCAGCAGGTCCCTGCTGCTCCGACCTTTTCTCTCAGGCTCCCTCCAAGGTCACGTTTAAGGTTTTGGGACTGATGGTGCTACAGGAGGGGTGAGATTTGCAGCATCCTGTAGCTGGTCTTACTGCTAACGAAGCCCTGCAGTCAGGTGAATGTAAAATCCTGCTCGGCTGTGGGGCAAACACAGGAGCTCTCATCCCTGGTTGGGGTTTTTGCCAGAGGTGGCCAGGGCTCACCCCGCTGCTGTGCTGCTCGGGGCATCAGCAGCCACATTCCAGCTGGGTTGTTTTCTCCATCCCTTGTTGCTCAAGTGCAAACGGGGAAGACGTGCCACAGGGACGCAGCGGGCTTACCCTGGGTGTAACACAAACCATATTGAGAAGTAGGTGGGGCAAGAGGGAGCTCAAAAAGCTCCAAGCCCCAGGGAGGGAGGGAGGAAAGGTGGTGAATCCACCAGGGAGATCCCTTCTCCCAAACAAGCAAAATGTGGCACTCTGGTTCCTCGTAATGCTGCATCTCCTCCCTGGCTGCTTGGGGAAGATGCCACAGAGGCATTTTATCTGTCCTTGACTTTCTTTTCCACCCAAACCCCAGTGATCCTTGCACCCCTCTCTCTGGAGCCAGCCAGCTTCTTCCTTCTTGAAGCCTCTTTTTTTCTGCACTTGGGTCTCCCTTCTCCCATTGCATAACTCCCGGGCTGGGCTCAGCAGGCAGCGGCATGAAGCCGAGGCTGCTGCCAACCTCACGGCCACCCACGGCGCTGGGAATAGCAGCGTGGAGACGGCTCGGCCCAGCAAATGCAGCCGCTCGCAGCAGCAGGAGGGCTCCGGGATCAGCCTTCCTGCAGGCGTGGGGAGCTGGCGCGGCCCCAGTTTGCACTTGGAAGGGTTTCTCTAAGGGGGGGGCTTTGGTATTATTTTTTTTTAATCTCCTCTTTCTTTCAAATCTCCCACCCCGTTTAGGTTTTTAATGCTGCAGGAGATGAGGACCTGGACCTCAGCGTTGCCAGGCTGGTACCGAGCAGGTGGGTTTTCCCAGCTCCACCGATGGAAGTTTGAGAACATACTGGGACCGAGAGGCCCCGTCTGTTTAACGCCTGGTTCTCCTCCTACTCCTCCTCTGCACCACTGCAAGTGGGCAAGCTTCAGCACAAATCTAACCACTCCTTTCTGTTGTTTTAATTTGTATTTGGGGTTTTGTTTTGCTTTGTGGGTTTGTTTTTTTTTTTTACCCCAGAGAAAAATAAGAAGTGAGATATCAAGTGGGGAAAAAAGAAAAAAAAAAGTGGGCCAAGATGTAAAGAACATGCTGGTAACATCTCCCACTTTGATGAAGGCTGGTGTCAAACTCGGCGTGGGCAGAGAGAGAGACGGGAACATGGAGAAGCGTCAAACACATCAAGCATGGGAACACAGAGGCTAATGGATTGGAGTTGGGGGGGACATGATGGGAAGCAGCTCCAACTCTGGGGCTCAGCAGCCCAAGGAAAAGCTTCCGGAGCTGTTACAAGGAGCTGGCTTGGGCACTCGGTAACGGGGAGGAACCTCAAGCTGCACCCATGAGTGCAATGGCCCGGGCCAGGCTGCGGATGAGCGCGTGGGGCACCAGAACAGGCCCAGCCAGAGCAAGGCTGCAAAGGGCACTGCCTGCTTCTGAGCATTGCAGGGCTGGAAATGAGGATGAGGCAGAGGAAGGTTGTCTTTCAGGAAGGAGGGTGGGATGAAGGCAGGTGAAGTTATGTAGAAAGATTCAGATGCTCACTGTGCCTGTTTTATTTCAGCCAAAGGCTGTGTCAGGTAACAGCCCACAGCATCCCCAGTGTGTGAGGGGTAAGGAGAGGGGAGAGGTGGGTCAGGGGCTGAAATGGGATCGAAGCAAGTAAAAAGAAAGAACTTGAGGAAGTAGCAGGAAGCGTTTCCTCGGGTGAGCAGCAACAGGCAGGGCAAGGCCATGTGCGTGGCTTCTCAGCATCACATTAGTCCTGGCATTAAATGTGCAGCTGGAAGGTGCCATGGGGAATATGAGGAGTGAAAATGTTCTGAATTCTCTTGGGAAAATAAGGAGAGGGGAGAGCCTGAAATGTCACAGAGGAGGACTTACAAGTGGTTCCCCAGCATGTTCCTCTTCGTGGCCCCCAGGAAGCTCATCAGGTTGGGATCCGAGTGCTCATCGCCCACCATGGTGGGACCAACCTCCTGCGGGGAAAGGCAGAGGAGCAGGTGAGCAATGCACAGCAGCACAGCCACCCCGCCCCTGCTCCCCAGTACAGCTCCAATAAGAGCGTTACTGGGAAGGGAATTCCTGTGAGCCACCTGGAGGGAACCTTGGTGGCTTTGCTGCTGGAGGGTCACCTTCTGACTGAGTACGTGGTGGCTCTGGTCCTCCAGGATCCATCACCAGGAAGCCTGTCGTGCAGCAACAAAGTGCCTCATTGTGCAAACCCAACAAATCTGCATGTTTTCCCATGAAATGGGCATCCCCAGGCCAGTTTGGGACTGTTTGCCTGGGAGAAGGCAGCTTTAGGAAAGGCTCCACTAACTGGGGAGGGGTGAAGGATCAGGGTAAGAAGGTGCTGCAGAGGGACCAGTGCAGCTGAGCCCCCGCGCCATGATGGGGGACAGTCACGCTCCCTTGGAAGCGATGAGAGACCGGAGGGGCTGGGGGCAGGCAGAGCCGTGAGTCATCTCACCCCCAGAGCCATCGGTGGGCTGCCCACATGTCACGGGGACGGGCTGGCGGCATTTCTGTACAGTGTTCCAGAAGTGTTATTTTATGAGATATTCCTGGGCGGGAGGTTTTCCAGAAGGAAGTCGAAGGGCACAGGAGATTACAGCAGCGCCGATGTGAGCTCCGCAATGACCGTCCACTCCCAACCCACCCCAGCACAGCCAGGGAGCAGCTGGGGAGGGCAGAGACCAGGGAATGCAGTGAGCATCCACCCTGCAATGCAGCGGCTGGAAGAGCCCGAAAGCAGAGCCTGGCACGCTGCCCACAGCTACGGGGGCTGGTGAGTGCAAGAGACATCGCCCACCCCTCCACTGTGGGACCCACAGCCCAGCCCTCCCTGCTCAGCGCTGATCGGGCTCCAAAACCTACCCCTGCACCTTCCATGCTCCCCCTGCAAAGAGCAGGGTTTGACCAATTTTAATAAGTAGAGCAATTGCTGCTTTTTAAAACTACATATAAAAAGTTTGCAGGTGAAAACTGATCTTCTGAGGGATGTCCCCCATCCACTGGCAAACCTGTATCAAACCATTATCAACACTTTATAATATGAAAAGGGATGCTCAGCCCTAAATAACCTCAGCAATATTTTAAGTGTTACCTGATCCCTTTTTGACCCCTCTCTCCCCTACCACCCCTTGGAGAAAGCAAAGCCCAGGGCCCTGCTGAGGGTCCCAGAGGCTGCACGCAGAGGGTTGGGGGCTGCACACAGAGGGTTGGGGGCTACGCGCTCCCCATGACACCGTGGTGTGAACCCCTTGGTCCCTAGCAGTGGGACGGGGACGCTGCGCTTTGACCTGCAGGGAGTTCAGCAGCGAAGCAGCTGGATGGTCTGACGGCGGGAAAGCTGAGAATTTCCACGTGGCTGGGAGAGCTGAGAGAGCTGGTTTGGGGAAAGCAGAGGGATGAGGGCTGAACACGGCAGATAGGGTAAATCCCTCCCTGGCAGTATCCACCTCCAAACTGGCACTGGCAAGTGGCGTGTACCTCGGCAGCCTCGAGCAGATCCCACCTAGAAGCGCTTACGCAGCGCCATGGCTCCTGTGAGCTGTGCAGGCGCATGCAGCTGCCCGGCGGGCTGGAAAAGACAAACTGCAGCAGAGGCAGAGCCTCCTCCACCCGCCGCACCCAGCGCTGTGAACCCCGCGGGGACGCGACTCACCCCTGCCCCGGCTGCGGCCACAGAAAGGCAGAGAAGTCAGTCACCCCCCGCCAGGCCAGACGGGCTGTTTCCAGCCACGGCTCGGTGCCAAGGTTCAGGCTGGAAATGTTTGCTTTCCCCTGCTGAAGAGCAGAGTTCCCGAAGTCTCCGGGCAGGGGGAAATGTGCTAAACTGCGATAAAGCAGCCCACCCCCTGCTGCCTGCCTGCCTCTCAACTGCTCTGAACCACCCCAACCACGTGGCACCTTCTGTATCTTGGTCCATCATGATGCTGAATATCGCTGCCAGCAGACGCCTCGATGCTGCAACATCCCCCTGTGCCCTCGGTCCCAACTCCCAGCTCGCTCGGTTTGAGATGTCTGTGCCCAACAGGGCATCTTCAGTGACCGCCGCAGCCTCTTCCACCGAACGCCGCCAACATGCTGATTTGCTTTTTTTTCCCCTGCTACCCCCTTCCTATCACAAACCCATGTCACTGTATTTTGGCTTTCAGACCTATAGTTCCCCTTTGGGCTGGGAAAAGGGAAAAACCCCATACTCATGGCTATCTGCTCTTGCAGCAGGACGGGAGGTTGGCCACAGCCGCCCCGTGGGCTGCTGATGCCGCGGTCGTTAGGAAATAACGTTTCATTTATGTTTTTATAGGAGACTAACGGGCCTCGGCCCCAGATCCCAGGGGCTGCTGCGCTGCCAGCGCTGCCCTTCCCTTCCCTGACAGCTGCGTTTGCCACTGGGAAACAGCTCTTTGGGGGCGAGGGAAAACCCTGAAAACACGTGTTCCCACATTAGTTTCTTTGACATTCACGGGATCCTACAAGTTGCCCGAGTTAAGTGATGGGCTGTTGAGGAGGAAGGGGGGGGTGTTAGGGGGAGATGAGTTGGAGTGCGGGCGCCCAAGAGCCCCCGACACCCCGCGGGGTGATGGACGTGGTGGATATCTCGCACCAGCAGCTGCGGCCGTGCCGGGGGTCCCCCAAATCTGCGGGGTGTCACACACCACCACCCCCCCGCCGCAAGCCCGGGACAGCACAAGGGCGGCCAGAGGC